TAAGTCGAGTCTAGTCTTACTGAGACATAACGAGCACTGAGCACGTCCACACATTCTCATACACACCTGTATTTATCATCTGAGTGTAACTCGTCATGGCTACGTACTACATCCCCTCAAGGGAGGTTCCTTGATGCTGGTGAGGGGCTCTTCATCTAGGGAATTGGATTTGTGCTCCGGTGCTCTGAATTGAGCCTGAATACCTTCCACCCCCCCCCACATACGCTGTATTATCCTACGGGTTTAGCGCTCCTCCATGATTATAATTATAATACGTACCAGATGGTACTTAAGAATCATACTGTTACGAAATGTGCCCTGAGCTTTTATACTATTATATGTTTAATTTAACAATGCATTACAAGAGAAGTGTAGGAGCTTATATCCTAAATTATATCAAACTTTCTTACTTTGATATTGTCCACCTAGACACCTTTGTTATTGAAGATCTCAAATTTTATTTCGTTGGGTTATTGTCATCCAGTTGGGATCCCAAAACGCTATTAATAATTCTCTCAAATTCAAGGGATAACTGGACTTGATCTTATTCTGACAAACTGTTACAAAACCAGAAACAGTCTAGATGCTAGAGGTTGATCAATAAGTTAACCTAGTATTTTCTGGAGATGTCTATGCTTTATGGATATCGCATTTTGCAACAAGCCATCATCACAGTCTCAGCCATGAACGGAGAACACAGTAGGCACGTCAACACAGTAGGCACGTCTTCACACGATACAGATCATCTTACCTTTGCTTACCATGATTCAAGGTCTACATCACCGAGTTTATAACTACGAGGATTATTGTCGGTACCAAGGACTATCACTTTACACTTGTCCACATTGAAATGTATCTGCCACTTTTCACACCATGACATTAATTTGTCTAAATCCTGCTGAAGTTCATTGGCATCCTCCTCAGAATATATTATTCTGCCTATGTTGTGCCGTCAGCGAATTTACTTGTGTTACTCGTTATTCCGTCATCAAGGTCATTAATGTAAATTATGAGCAACAATGGACCCAAAACTGATCATTGTGGAATGCCACTAGTGACCGGTCCCCATTCAGACTTGACCCCACTAATGCAAACTGTCTACCTCCTATTAGTCAGCCATGCCTCGATCCATGTTGTAACTTTACCTCCTATATCACGAGCTGCCACTTTTCTTAACAGTCTTTAGTGAGGTACCCCTCGGAAGGTTCCTTGACGCTGGTGGTGAGCTCTTGTTCTAGGGAATTGGATCTGTGCTCTAGTTCCCTGAATTGAGCCTGAATACCTTTCATCCGCCCCCTCCCCCAACAGGCTCTGTATAATCCCTACGAATTTAGCGCTCCCCCGTGATTATAGTAGTAATCGTTAGCGGCTGACTAAGTTCCCACTTACATTCCTTAAGTTTTCTTGTTTACAGTTTCCTCGGGGCTCCGGGACTTATTTAGTTTGGGTTTATCTAATTGTTTAATAAGTATATCCCTCGTGACTGTAATATTACTTGATTTGTTTTCCTCAGGGCCCGATTAATTACTGATAACTGTTATATCATTTATGTCTTCTTGTGTGAAAATTGACAAGAAATAACTATTAAAAGTAGAGCATATTTGCTGGTCGTTATCAGTAAGCTTTCCAGACTTAGTTTTTAGTGGTCCTAATTTTTCCCTGATCATTGTTCTATACATCTGAAAGAACCCTTTTGAATTTGTCTTTGATTTTCTAGCTACTTTAATTTCATAGTTGCGTTTAGCCTTCCTGATCCCCTTTTTTACCTCTCTTTAAAATGAACATATTGATCAATAAGGCTAACCTCTCCTCTTTTGATGCGCCTATAAATTCCTCTTTCCTCTCTTAACAGATGCATTAGTCAACTATTCATCCATTTGAGATCATTCTTATTTGACCTAATTTCTCTCTGAGAAATATACTTTGAGGATGTTGTACATTAAATAAAATTATATTCGCAGTTCCTATCGTTATTTACAATAATGATAGGAATTAGAATCATTAGACAGATATTCTCAGTCAAGACTAGACATGTATTCCCTAAGTCCATTGTAATCGGCAGAACGAAAATCGAGGATTTTGCCGTATTATCCTCTGTTTTCGTATTCCTCCAAGGTCCTCAGTGATCTCCAGATTATTAACGAGGGTTTCCTTATTTAACAAAATTTCACCTACACTACAACAATCAGTGGGTGAATTGAGATGATCTTCACTACCTGACTTGAATGGGTGTATTGGCTTCACCTTCAGTATACTACATGACTTCAGTTAGTATATAGAGTCTATCTAAGCTACATCTATTTGGTTAGTGCAATGAACTGACCTACTCACCATTAATTGGTCATATTTGAATGGCATTCATTTTATCTTTTCATTAAATAAATTAAGTAGACGTACACTACATCACGTGAGTAGGTGTATTGAGCTGACCTATACCATGTAATTTGAGTTAGAATTTTGAGTTATTATTCACCGCATCCCTTGAATGAGTGTACTGAGTTTGCATTTAATACATCCCTTAAGTTGAAGTACTGAGTACTTCTGCACTATATATCTCTCTTATCCCTCACTAAGTGTATGGAGTTCAAATATAATTCATGAGTTAATTGTGGTTATTGAATTTGCTGTGTTGACTTACATTACATTCCTTAAGTGAAAGTTGATAAATAAGACACATTTGCAACACTTGGGTATCTCTACTAGCGAAACATTACGCCTGCACGACAGGCTTCTTAAGTCAGGCAAGGGTGGATACAACACTGGAAGCAGTAGTAGGTTTAGCGTCTCATTTTAGATTATAATAATAATACTGGAAGCAGTAGACATAATGACGTGATCAGTCCGTCACCCTAGGTTTGAGGTGGTCAGTCCCTCTAGCCTAAAGCATAGGCAAACGACCAGACCTTATGTACTGCAGCAGAGGAGAGATAAAGCAGCTGGAGTTGACGTCATACGTGAGCGTGGCCCACCAGCACAATAGATCCTGTCAAACTATTGTTTAGTTATGAAGTTGCAGAAGTCATCCCATGGACCACGATACCACGGTGTTGCTATGTCAGATCGCTTCAAGACTACTTCTACTGCTTCCAGTGCTTTATTCACCTGTAACTTGCTGAAAGAGCCTGGTGTACGGTGAAGCGTTTCGGCAGTAAACATACCCGTTGATCTATACTACATGACTTGAACATGCCATGTATACCTAAACTACATATTTGGAGCGGATGTACTGAGCAGACCTGCACTATCTGACTTGATTATATATCCTAGTGCTTAACTGCCCTCACACTGAAGGAATCGTTTATGTCTCTTGGAGGTATGATAAACTTCTGCCGCGAGTTTTGTTGCCCTTTTCTGTTGTAAGTTGTGCAGCTTCGTTATTTTCCAAGTACTTTCAACCAGTCTCTCTTTAGTTTGTTCCTATCAACTGTGCCTTGTGTATCGTAAGTTATGTGATCATATATCCTGTAACTTTTCCTTTTTCTAGTGATATGAGATTGAGCTCTCTTCACTTAACTTCGTTTCCCAGTCCATGTGGATCTGTACTCTCCTATTACGGGTTGCGGATTCGAATCATGTTCTCAATACCGATGATAAATTAGAAATATGTTCAACACTTGGGTGTGTTTATTGAGGAAACGTTTCGTCATAGAATGGCTTCATCAGTCCTATAAACAGAAGAACTGTAAAGATCAGAAGGAGTTTGAGGCAATCAGTCTCTCAGCCTGGAGTCGATTACATTGACTCCAAATTGAGGGACTGATTACCTCAAACTCCTATTCATCACCATTCTCCATCGTGTGGACTGATGAAGCCACTGTGTGGCTAAACGTTTCCTCAATAAAGACACCCAAGTGTTGCACATGTGTCTAATTTATCAACTTGTAGGTTCTCTGAACCATTTTCCTACATTCCTAACACCGCCTCATATCTGGTCATATACGAGTCCTAACGTCTGATCTTCAAGGTGTGTATAAAATTTGCCTCGATAGAGTTTCAAGCATCCCTGAGGCTATGTGAATATTTCCTGACATCTCTGGGATTCATCCGAATCTTTAACTTCAATCTACGTCGCCTTGTACTAATTTCTCCGCCTCACCTGCAGTTATTTTAACCTTTCTCTCAAATCCTCTATTCTGAAATATCATCAAGATTAGTTATTTTAGGCTCTTCTCTTATCAGTTTTTTTTTTCAAATCCCCGAGTATTTCCGCGAGAATTACCTCGAATAAAGGGAGGAGGATCGAGCCTCCACTAGCTTGTCTACTGAATAGCCCACAAGAGTTTACCGCTAACCATGATAATGTAATAATATATCTTTATTTCTACAAATACATTATAAGGTATACAGTCCTAGCTGACATGAATTACCTCCTACAACACAGAAAGCCGCTTGTTACGCAGAGCATTTCGGACATATTAGGTCAATTTTGTCCCAGGATGCAACCCACACCAGTCCACTAACACCCAGGTATCCATTATTACTGATGGGTGAACATGGACAACCGGTGTAAGGAAACACGACCAATGTTTCCAATCTTTGCCGGGAATCGAACCCGGACCATCAGCGTGTGAAGCGAGAGCTTTCCCTACCAGGCCACGGGCCACCGTGACCTAGAAGTATCCTCATGATATACGCTCTCACATAAACATTTTGTTTAAAACTAGACGAAACTCTACGAAAGAGTGAAATATGACTTGATAAAGCTCCACCCAGTACCAAACATGATAAAGCTCCACCCAGTGCCAAACATGATAAAGCTCCACCCAGTGCCAAACATGATAAAGCTCCACCCAGTGCCAAACATGATAAAGCTTTACAGAGAAGGATGCCTACTCACCTGGAGTCTCCGAGCCTACTCACCTAGACATCTTCTAGCGCACTCATCTGGGTATCGACGACCCTACTCATCTAGACATCTTCTAGCCTACTTACCTGGGCATCTCTCAGCCTACTCACTTGGGCGTTTTCGAGCCTACTCGGGCCTCTCCGAGCCTACTCACCTGGATGAGCAAAGCGATACCCACCACACCGTATACTTGAGCTGAGGCCTGGCTGAAGTTTCTGTAGAGCTGAGAGTTGTATCCATAGAGCTGGAGCTGTGGGAAGAAGATGTATTAGTAGAGCTGTGGGAAAAGGTGGTATTAACAGAACTCTGGAAAAAGGTGGTATTAGCAGAGCTGTAGAAAAAGATAGTATTAGCAAAGCTGTGGGCAAAGGCAGTATTAACAGAGGGGTGGGATATGAAGAGAAGTCTTTGGGAAGATATGGGATATAGAAGAGAGAGCTGTGGGGAGAAAATGGGATAAGAAGAGAAAGGTGTGGGGAAATAGGATGTGAAGATAGAGCTGTGGGGAGAAATAAGATAAGCAGAGAGAGCTTTGGGGAGAAATAATGTAAGAAGAGAGAACTGTGGGGGGAAATAAGATGAGAGAGAGCTATGGGGTGAGGCAAGATTAGTAATTATCGAGAGGAGTGAGATTAGCAGAGAGATTTGTGGGGAGAAGTGAGTTTGGTGAAAAGCTCTGGCACAGTGAGTGAGGGGAAATTGTGCAATAAGAAATTATTAATAGAAGATACCTACACCCCATCAATACACCATCTGCACCTATCTACACCACATCTACACCCCATCTACACACCATCTACAACCATCTACATCCCATCTATACCCAATCTATACACCATCTACACCCATCTACACCCACATACGCCTCATCGACACCCCAACTACACACCCATCTAACTCCCTTTCTAATCAAGGTAAGCACATTCTGGTTGTAGGTGACTCACAGGTAAGATATATGGACTGTGCTTTCTGTAACCGAGATAGGAGTGTTGGAAAGAGAGTGTGCTTCCCTGGAGCTGGTGTTGATGACATAGTCAACAGGCTGGATAATATTATGTCAGGTAATGAGAATAAGACCATCATCTGTCTTAGTGCTGGTGGAAATGATATCAGGAAGGGCAGGAGACAAGAGCTGCTGGATAAGTAAAAGTCAGTCATAGATGTAATTAGGTCTAAGGGAAGGGTCCCAATCATATGTAGCATCTTGGCAAGAAGGGAAGTGGGCAATGAATGGATGTCTAGGGCAACTGGTGTAAATTGTTGGCTAGACAGGTACTACAAGGAATTTGCAATCCCATTCATTGATAACTGCGACAAATATTATGGCAAACGTGGTGGGGTACGTCTTTCAGTAGACGGAGTGGTTGCATTAGCCAACTCGATTCAGGGGGCCATTGCTGACTTGTCTAGGACTTTAAACTGATAGATTATAGAGATATAATCTATCAGCTGCATTACAAGGGTTGAAAACAACATATATTATCAGGATACGTCAGGAATATGTTTAATAGACAATATTCAAAATAAAGTTGCTAGTAAAGGCAAATAAAATGACAAACAGAGACAGTAAAGGGTAGAGAGTGACTAGCTCCCTTAATTAAGGTTTACTGTATTAACAGAAGGAGTCTAAGAAATAAGATAAATGAGTTAAGATTACTTGCATGTGCAGGTAATGTAGATATTATTTCTATACCAGAAACCTGGTACAAGGCTATAAACTATTCCACACTGATAGGGTCAACAGGAAGGGTGGTGGAGTGGCAATGTATGTCAGAGATAATTTAAATTGTTGTGTTAGACAAGATATAAGATTAGAAGCATCGCACACAGAATCTGTTTGGCTACAGTTTCTAGAAGGTCGTGACAAATTAATTTTGGGTGTGATTTATAGGCCCCCAAATCTTCATAGGGAGTGCAGTAAGCTGCTATGGGACGAAATTCCAAAAGGCGTCTAGATGTGATAATGTTGTGTTGATGGGAGATTTTCAAACTGATTGGAACAATATGACAAGAAGTCTTGAGTCTAATCACTTTCTTGATACGATTCAGGATTGGTTTTTAAAACAGTTTGTGACAGAACCAACTAGAGGAAACAATCTACTTGACTTGGTTCTTGCCAACAAGGAATCACTAATAAATAATCTTAAGGTTAATGATGAGCTTGGGGAAAGTGATCACAAATCACTTAGTGTCAATATATCATGGAATTACCTTAATAACTGATATCAAATCTCTGTCCCAGACTTCCGCTTGGCCGATTTCATGGGAATGAGAAATTACCTGGGTGGGCATATATATATATTATATATATATATATATATAAATATATATATATATATATATATATATATATATATATATATAAATATATATATATATAAACATGCAAGATTTTAGGTACTCCTTGCTACTTCTACTTGCACTTAGGTCACACTACACATACATGTACAAGCATATATATACACACCCCTCTGGGTTTTCTTCTATTTTCTTTCTAGTTCTTGTTCTAGTTTATTTCCTCTTATCTCCATGGGGAAGTGGAACAGAATTCTTTCTCTGTAAGCCATGCGTGTTGTAAGAGGCGACTAAAATGCCGGGAGCAAGGGGCTAGTAACCCCTTCTCCCGTATAAATTACTAAATTTAAAAAGTGAAACTTTCGTTTTTCTTTCTGGGCCACCCTGCCTTGGTAGGATACGGCCGGTTTGTTGAATATATATATATATATAAATATATATATATATATATATATATATATATAATATATATATATATATATATATACATATATGTCGTGCCGAATAGGCAGAACTTGCGATCTTGGCTTAAATAGCAACGTTCATCTTGCCATATAGGACAAGTGAAAATTTGTGTATGCAATAATTTCGCCAAAATCATTCTGAACCTAACGAAAAATATATATTTCACTGTGTTTGTTTAGTATTAAATTATTGTAAATAAATCTAAAATATATTTAGTTAGGTTAGGCTAAAATGAATTGTTCTTGTTATAATAAGGTTAGGTAAGTTTTCTAGGTTCTTTGACGCAAAATTAAAATTTTTACATTAACATTAATGAAAAAAATATATCTTTAAACGTATAAGAGAAAATTTCAGAAAGGACTTAATTTTAAATGAGTTGTTGCTAATTGACCAGTTTTACATATTCGGCACGACATACATATATATATATATATATATATATATATATATATATATATATATATATATATATATATATATATATAATATGTAATTCGCAGAACAGGCGAAATATTCACAAACACTAATCTCTGGTCGAAGGAGACTCGAACCTAGGAACCAAGGGACAAGGTACACAGTGCTCTAACCAACCAGCCACACTGGTCCAATACCTTGGCGCCCAGCTAGATTAGTGTTTATGAATATTTTGCCTGTTCTGGTTGCCTTGGATCAAAACGTCTAGCGTTCGCTGGGCGCCAAGGTATTGGACCAGTGTGGCTGGGTGGTTAGAGCATTGCGTACCTTGTCCCTTGGTTCGTAGGTTCGAGTCTCCTTCGACAAAAGATTTGTGTTTATATATATATAATATATATATATATATATATATATATAATATATATATATATATATATATATATGTCGTGCCGAACAGGCAGAATTTGCTCTCTTGGCTTAAGTAGCAACGTTCATCTTGCCATATAGGGCAAGTGAAAATTTGTGTATGCAATAATTTCGCCAAAATCATTCTGAACCTAACGAAAAAAATATATTTCACTGTGTTTGTTTAGTATTAAATTACTGTAAACAAATCTAAAATATATTTAGTTGGTTAGGCTAAAATAAATTGTTTCTTGTTATAATAAGGTTAGGTAAGTTTTCTAAGATTCTTTTGGTGCAAAATTAATTTTTTTTACATTAACATTAATGAAAAAAAATATCTTTAAACGTATAAGAGAAAATTTTAGAAAGGACTTAATTGTAAATGAGTTCTTGCTAATTGACCAGTTTTACATATCGGCACGAATGTGTGTGTGTGTGTGTGTGGTGTGTGTGTGTGTGTGTGTGTGTGTGTGTGTGTGTGTGTGTGTGTGTGTGTGTTGTGTGTGTGTGTGTGTGTGTGTGTGTAATTGTACTGTATACCAACAGTGTACAGTATGGAAAATGATAAACCCACTTGGAGACAGACAATACAAGTAATTAAGAAGGAAGTGTATATTTTGGCCTCTAACTAAGGTCCTCGTGAGCAGAGGGCTCAGCTGAAGAACAAAATATGCAGCTTCCAGTATTAATACTTTTATTTCTCTCTCCAGTTGGGTTGCACTCTATCTACTGATTAATGTTCATGTATTACCAACTTTGCAGTGCACACCATATACAGTATAAACTAGAAAATACACATCAGTGTACAGTGTATACACACAAAATGGATGTCCACAAACTAGGCATGTGCTTATGTATACTGTTCCCTGTTGCTGATCTCTGTTGAAGCATGATGTTCCAGATAAAATTGTTAAAATTAAATAAATTTAATGAATGATATAAAATATCAGTGAAAATTTGATATGCACACATGAATATGCAAGTTTTCATTAAATGAATTGGTCTGACAATTATGTTAAAACTTTTAAAGTAAACACTATTCAATGCAAAAAAAAATGCTTAATTTTTTTTTTAACAAGTCGGCCGTCTCCCACCGAGGCAGGGTGACCAAAAAGAAAGAAAATCCCCAAGAAGAAAATACTTTCATCATCAGTCAGCACTTCCACCTGACTCACACATAATCACTGCATATACATATAAAGATACACAACATATCCCTCCAAACTGCCAATATCCCGAACTCATCCTTTAAAGTGCAGGCATTGTACTTCCCATTTCCAGGACTCAAGTCCGACTATATAAAAATAACCGGTTTCCCTGAATCCCTTCACTAAATATTACCCTGCTCACACTCCAACAGATCGTCAGGTCGCAAATACCATTTGTCTCCATTCACTCCTATCTAACACGCTCACGCACGCCTGCTGGAAGTCCAAGCCCCTCGCTCACAACACCGCCTTTACCCCCTTCCTCCAACCTTTACGAGGACGACCCCTACCCCGTCTTCCTTCCCTTAGAGATTCATACGCTCTCAATGTAATTCTACTTTGATCCATTCTCTCTAAATGATCAAACTACCTCAACAAACCCTCTTCAACCCTCTGACTAATACTTTTATTAACTCTACACCTTCTCCTAATTTCCACACTCCGAATTTTCTGCATAATATTT